TATTAATACCAGAATCCAAAGGAAAATGTTTAGAGGGTGGCTGCAATGAAAACTAATATGTCAATTTTGCTTGATTTCATCAAAATTGATTCATAAGGTGGATCTTAATATCTCTTTCCAAATTTAGTGAACTGCAATGGTCATTAAAAAGCTAAAATGATGGCACCTCCTTGGTCAGCTAATGAAAAAGACTAAGCAAAGCAATGATAGACCAAATAACAGGTCCTTCACACTGAGGACGTCCAACTCCACGACCACATACTGCTCAATCCCACCCAAAGCCATGCCCCCACACATGTATCATCCTGGAAATTATGAATAAACCCTGCTGTGGATGAAACATATTGGGGGGGCCGGGCATTGAGTGGGAGGTGAATGTTGTGCTGTTTGTGGCAATAACCCCAGGGGTGGTACACATCTTCTGTGTGTGGCCTGTTTGTAGGCAGGTTCTTTCCTACTCTCCTAGTTTCACCTCTACTTCCTTCCCTTGCCCTTCCTAAATTCCTTTGGAAGGAGACCCTAACATTTCTTCCTACATGTCCTTCTTTCTTTCCTTTAAACCTCCTTCCTTCTTTCTTTTCTTCCTTCCGTCTTTCTTTTTATCTCCCTCTTTTTTCCCCCTCTGTTTTTACTCCCCTTCTCCCATTCTTCCTTCCTCCTCCTCTCACCTCCCTCTCATCTCTCCTCTCCTTTCCCCTCCCTCTCATCTCTCCTCTCCCCCTCCCACTCATCTCTCCTCTCCTCTCCCCCTCCCTCTCATCTCATCTCCTCCCTCTCCTCCTCTCATCCCATCTCTCCTCCCTCCTTTCCTTTCTCCTCCCCCCTCCTCCTCTCCTTTTTCCTCTTATTCCCTCTCTTCTCCTTTCTCCTCCCTCTCCTCTCCTCCCTCCCGCCTCCCTCCATTCCTCTCCTTTCTCCTCGCATCACCTCTCCTTTCTCATCTCATCCCCTCTCCTTTCTCCTCTCATCCCTCTCCTTTCTCACCTTCCTCTCATCCCCTCTTGCTCTCTCTCCTCTTCCTCTCATCCCCTTCCTCTCCCTCTCATCCCCTCTCTTTCTCATGACCCTCCCCTCCTCTCCTTTCTCCTTTCTCCTCTTCCTCTCATTCCCTCCTCCTCTTCCTTTCTCCTCTTCATCTCATCCCCTCTCCTCCACCCCACCCTCTCCCCTCCCCTCCCCTCACGGGCCTCTCCTCCCCTCTGCTCTTCCTCTCATCCCCTCCTCTCCTCTTCCTCTCATCCCTTCTCCTCTCCTCTTCCTCTCATCTCCTTTTCTCTCTCCTCTTCCTCTCATCCCTTCCTCTCCTCCTCTAATCCCCTCTCTTCTTCTCTCATCCCCTCTCCCTCCCCTGAGTCATCACCTCTCCTCTTCCTCTCATCACCTCTCCTCTCCCTCTCATCCCCTCCTCCTCTCCCTCTCATCCCCTTTGCCTCTCCTTTCTCCTCTTCCTCTCATCCCCCCCCCTTTCCTCTTCCTTTCCACTCAGCCCTCTCCCTCTTCCTCTCATCCCCTCTCCTCTTCTTCTCATCCCCTCTCTCCCACCACTCCTTCATCCCCTCTCCTCTTCCTCTCATCCTCTCCCCTCTCCCCTTATCCCCTCTCCTCCACCTCTCATCCCCTATCCTCCTCCTTTCTCCTCTTCCTCTCATCCCCCTCTCCTTTCTCCTCCTCCTCTCATTCCCTTCCTCTCCTTTCTCCTCTTTCCTTATCCCTTCTCCCCTCTTTCCACCATCCTTATTTCTTCAGTAATCCACAAATTTCCCCCAAACTCAAATGCATCCTTACTATCTTACATACATCCCTTCTTTTTCTTCTTTTTTTCCCCCTCTTTCATTTTTTTTCTTCCTTCCTTCCTCATCACCTCCTCCTCTCTTCCCCCTCACATCTCCTCTCTCCTTCTTCTCCTCCCTCTCCTTTCTCCTCCCCTTTCTCCTCCCTCCTCCTTCTCCTCCTCCCCCCCCATCCCCCCTCCTTTCTTTCCTCTCCCCTCCCCTCTCCTTTCTCTCTCTCATCCCCTCTCCTTTCTCGCCTTCCTCTCATCCCCTCTCCTCTTCTTTCTCACCTTCCTCCAAATTCCACCTCCCCTCCTCTCCTCTCCTTTATTGCATTCCTCTCTCATCCCCTCCTCCTCTTCCCCTCCTCCTCATCCCCTCTCCTCCCCTCTCCTCTTCCTCTCCTCTCCCCTTCCCCTCTCCTCTTCCTCTCACTTCTCTCCTCTCCCCCTCTCATCCCCCTCTCCTCCTCCTCTCTCCTTTTTCTCTCTCCCCCCTTTTTTCTCTCCTCTTCCCTCATCCCTTCTCCTCTTCCTCTCAACACCCCTCTCCTCTCTCCTCTTCCTCTCATCCCCTCTCCTCTCCCTCTAATCCCCTCTTTTCCTCTTCATTCTCATCTCCTCTCCCCCCTCTCATCCCCTCTCCTCTCCCTTATCATCCCTCCCCTCTCCTCTCCCTCTTCCTCTCATCCCCCTCTCCTTTCTCCTCCTCTCTCCTCTCTCTCATTCCCTCTCCTCCTCTTCCTCTCATCCTCTTGTCCCCCTCTTCCTTCATCCCCTATCTTCTCCCTCTCATCCCCTCTCCTTTTCTCCTCTTCCTCTCATTCCTCTCCTCTCCTTTCTCCTTTTTCCTCTCATTCCCCTCTCCTTTCTCCTCTTCCCTCTCCCCTTTCCCCTCTTTCCCCCCACCAGTTTCTTACTTTTTTAGTTTTTAATCCACAAATTCCCAAACTCAAAGCATCTTTACTTTCTTACATACAGTACATCCATTCTCTTTTTTCTTCTTTTTATCTTCTCTTTATTTTTTATTTCTTCCTTCCTTCCCTCATCACCTCTCCTCTCCTCCCCCTCTCTTCCCCTTTCTTCTCTCCTCTCTCCTTCCTCTCATCCCCTCTCCTCCCCTCTCATCCCTCTCCTCTCCTCCTCCCTCCCATCCCTCCTCCCCCCTCCCTCTCATCTCTCCCTCTCCTCTTTACTTCCCCTTATCTCTCTCCTTTTCTCCCTCCTGCTCCTTTCTCCTTCCCCTCCCCTCCTCTCTCCACCCATCCCCTCTCCTTTTCCTCTCATCCCCTCTCCTTTGTCCTCATATCCCTCTCTCCTCCCCTCTCTTCTTCCCTCTCCCTCCCTCTCTCTTCTTCCTCTCATCCCCTATCCCTCTTCCTCTCATCCCTTCTTCCTCTCCTCTCATCCCCTTTTTTCTCTCCTCTTCCTCCTCATCCCTTCTCCTCTCATCCCTTTTCCTCTTCCTCTCAACCCCCTCCTCTTCCCTCTCCCCTCACCTCTTCCTCTCCCTCTCATCCCCTCTCCTCTTCCTCTCATCTCCTCTCCTCTCTTCTCCTCTCCCTCCCTCCCATCCCCTCTCCTCTCCCTCTCCTCCCCTTTCTCCTCCTTCCTCTCTCCTTTCTCCTCTTCTCTTCTTCTCCTCATCCCCTCTCCTTTTTTTCCTCTTCCTCTCATCCCCTCTCCTTTCTCCTCTTCCTCTCATCCCCTCTCCTTTCTCCTCTTCCTCTCATCCCTTCTCCTCTTCCTCTCATCCCCTATCCTCTCCCTCTCATCCCCTTCCTCTCCCTCTCATCCCCTCTACTTTTCTCCTTCCTCCACTCCTCTCCCTCCTCCCTCTCTCTTCCTTTCTCCTCTTTCCTCTCCTTTTTCCTCTTCCTCTCATCACCTCTCCCTCTTTCCCACCATCCTTATTTCTTCAGTAATCCACAAATTGCCAAACTCAAAGCATCTTTACTTTCTTACATACATCCATTCTTTTTCTTCTTTTTTTTTTTTCTCCTCTTTCATTTTTTTTTTCTTCCTTCCTTCCCTCATCACCTCTCCTCTCCTCCCCCTGTCTTCCCTTCTTCTCTCCTCTCTCCTTCCTCTCTCCCCTCTCCTCTTTCCCTCCCATCTCTCCTCTCCCCTCCCTCCTTCCATCTCTCCTCTCCTCTTACTTCCCTCTTATCTCTCCTTTCTCCCGCCCCTTTCTTTTTCCTCCCTCTCCTCTCTCTCCTCCCATCCCCCCTCTCCTTTCTCACCTTCCTCTCATCCCCTGTCCTCTCCTTTCTCACCTTGCTCTCATCCCCTCTCCTCTCCTTTTTGCCTTCCTCTCATCCCCTCTCCTCTTCCCTCATCCTCTCCCCTCTCCTTCCCTCTCCTCTTCCTCTCATCCCCTCCCCTCCCTTCTTTCCTCTCATCCCCTCCCTTCTTAATCTCCTCCCCTCTCCTCCCCTCTCCTCTTCTTCTTCCTCTTCTCCTCTCCTCTCCTCCCCTCTCTTCTTCCTCTCACCCCCTATCTCCTCTTCCTCTCAACCCCTCTCCTCTTCCTCTCATCTCCTCACCTCTTCCTCTCCTCTCCCTCTCATCCCCTCTCCTCTTCCTCTCATCTCCTCTCCCTCTCATCTCCTCTCCTCTCCCTCTCATCCCCTCTCCTTTCTCCTCTCTTCCTCTCATCCCCTCTCCTTTCTCCTCTTCCTCTCATCCCCCCCTCCTCTCCCTCTAATCCCCTCTCTGCTCCCTCTCATCCCCTCACCTCTTCCTCCTCCTCCCCTCTCTCCTCTCCCTTGCATCCCCTCTCCTCTTCCTCTCATCCCCCTCTCCTCTCCCTTTCATCCCTCTCCTCTCCCTCTCATCCCCTATCCTCTCCTTTCTCCTCTCCCTCTCATCCCCTATCCTCTCCTTTCTCCTCTTCCTCTTATCCCCCCCTCTCCCCCCTCTCTCTCTTCCTCTCCCTCTCTCATCCTCTCCTCTCATCCCTTATCCTATCCTTTCTCCTCTTCCTCTCATCCCCTCTCCCTTCTCCTCTTCCTTTCATTCCCTCTCCTCTCCTTTCCCCTCTTCCTCTTATCCCTTCTCCCCTCTTTCCCACCATCTTTATTTCTTCAATAATCCACAAATTCCCAAACTCAAACCATCCTTACTTTCTTACATACATCCATTCTTTTTATTTCTTCCTTCCTTCCATATCTTTAAGTTTTCTTAAATCTATAGCAATTCCTTCTTCTTGCCTCTTTCCCTTTCCCCTTTTCCATTAATAGGATCAGGGGTGGACTGACAACTCATGGGGCCCCCGGGCAATAGGGATCATGGGGCCCTTGTGTCCTTGCCCAAACTCAAAAAGCCTATGAAAAAGGTACCAGGGGCATCTCATGGGGCCCCCTACTGACCCCGGGCCCTCGGGCAGTGCCCGAGTTTCCAAATGGTCAGTCCGCCCCTGAATAGGATAAATAATTTGAGCTGATAGTGACAATTGCCCTACTCTCTGGCTAATGAACAGACTGGAATGAAACAAATGTGCAATATCTGCATTGTTTCTTATTTGCAGCTTTGACGGTCTCACATTACAGACTATATTGGATGGGTCAGGTGTTTATCCAGCACATGGTGCAGCAGAGTCCAGGCAGGTTTCAGGACATAAGGCTGACACCCTCAGAATGAATCATTGTGTCTGCGAGGAATGAGCTCCACAAACGGAACAATACATTGTCTGCATGGAAGAGAGCCTACATCTCACAGTAGCGGCTATAATTCTGAATGGATTTGAATGGATCATTTGGTTTTCCTCTTTAATTAGGTGACATCTCTCTTCCCCTGGCACATTGTCACCAAGCGAGGATGTGGGAAGGCTGTAAATCCAGTTTTAATTTCGCCCCACACAGTGGAAAATAAAAGTTCAAATACAAAAACTAATATTTCAGGGCTTATCCCGGCACATTTATCTAGTTTCCTATCTTTTAATCTTGATCCTCCTTTTGGCCGGCTTCACCACAAGCAAGAGGATTAGGTAAAAATAGGACAGCGAGTTCCTATTTCTGTGTGTTTAAATTTTAGAATTAATAATGGAGGATGTCAATCAGGTTCAACCAACATTTTCTTCCACTCTGATCCTTTAAACAATTTTTAGGAAACATTCATAATTAACAAAGTCACTTGATGTAAAAAAAAAAGTGGATGTGGGCATTTTTATTATTAGCTTTAAGTTGATTTGTTAAAGCTGAACTCCGGGTTCAAAAATGTATTTAAATATATATTTCTCTATAGCCACAGTGGATATAAATCAACTTTGTGTGCATCATATACCTTTACAAACCCAGATATTACCTTGTAAAGGCAGCAGCGATGTAATTACTTTGTTGTACATAACCTGTGCAGAGAGTAGAGATGTGGGAGGGGCTCAGAAGGCCACACCCAGTACATGCCACCTGCAGAAAACTACAGGAGGGGGCGAAAACAAGACCAGTCACCCTGCACAAGGAAAGAGAGCAGCAGTGAGTGGTCTTTATTACAGGAAGCTCCTGCACAGGTAAAGTTTCACACTGTTTGGGCTCTTTCACATGAATGTTCCGATTAGGTCCGCCTGCCCATTTTTCAGGCGGACCCGATCAGAACCTCCATTCTCCTCTATGTCTACATGGAAGAAAAATATATTTGAAGTATATTTTAACCCCTTCACGCTGGCCGCACGCAAATGTGCGGCCCCCCCGGCGTCTGGGCATAGACGCCGAGCGGCCGCACATTTGCGTTCATGTAACAAAAAACATATGTGCTGAGAGCACACGCCCTGCGCGACTCCAACACACATGTGCGTTACTCATGGAAAGGTCCTAGTCCGCTTTTTCGATCGGGACCTTTCCCGATCATGTGACCGGCCGTAGGAACTCCTCTTCACGCCAGGACGATATATTTCAAAATATATTTCTAAAAATATATATATATATATATACTGCATGTTGAAATGCGTTTTTATTACAAAATTTATTTTTAAAAATATTTTTCATATATTTTGTAATAAAAATGCCGTTCAACATGCTGTATATACAGTATATATATATATAGAAATATATATTTATTGAAATATATTTTGAAATATATTGAATATGGCCAAAATTGTAGCATTTCAAATATATGGCAATATATTTGGGAAGAATATTTTCAAAATATATTTCAATAAATTATATATATATATATATATATATATATATATATATATATATATATATACACACACTGCATGTTGAAATGCGTTTTTATTACAAAATTTATTTTTAAAAATATTTTTCATATATTTCAAATATACTGTATGTCTTTAAAAATACAAATCAACATTTTTGGAATGCATTTACAAATATAAGTAAAACTATATGTTAAAATTACATTTTTAATGTAAAAAAAATCTGAAGAATATAATTAAAAAAATATATATTAAATATATTCTTCGGATGTTTTTAACATATAAAAAAGTAATTTTAATATATATCTGTAAATGCATTCCAAAAATGTAGATTTGCATTTTTAAAGACATACAGTATATTTGAAATTTATTTTTAAAAATATTTTTCATATATTTTGTAATAAAAATGCATTTCAACATGCCGTATATACAGTATATATATAAATATATATTTATTGAAATATATTTTGAAATATATTGAATATGGCCAAAACTGTAGCATTTCAAATATATGGCAATATATTTGGGAAGAATATTTTTAAAATATATTTCAAATATATTTTTCTTCCATATGGGTGGAGTTCGTTTACACGCGCTGACATCTGATCCGATGCAATCCACCAAAAAGGGGGGATCAGCGGAGAGATCCCCCAATGAGCAAGCAGATCCGCTAAACAGTTCCACTCTGTGTGAAAGGACCCTTAGGCTTGGTTCACACCAATGCAGTTTGATCCATTTTTGCAAATGACTTTTGGCTGCGTATTTACCATGTATTGCATTTTGCATTTTTTTCAGCTTTTTTTTTCCTGTTTTTTGTTAATGCGGAAATATTTTTGTTATAGGACAGAATAAAAATGCAAAACGCGGCAAAAACCTATACATGCTTTTCAGCAGTGTGTCCATTAACGCAATTGTAGCAAAAACGCCACTTTTTGCATTTAAAAAAGTCCCTGGCCCTTTTCAAAAACGCAGTGGCTCAAAAAAGCATAGATGTGAACGTCTCTCATAGGAAACCATGTTAAATCGACTGTGGTGCATTTCTGCAAAAAGCACTAAAAACACATTGGTGTGAACCCGGCCTTAAACTTTACATTATACAATAATCTTTTATTGTTGGAAATAATACATTTATTCAGATTATTCATATATAACAAAATACTGGTTGTGTTCACAGAAAATACAATTTCCCTTTAGATCCTCCCCTTTGCCTAAACTAACCTGTAATTTTTATTTGTCACATTTTCCAGTGTTGGATGGACATGGCTGTCATTGTGGGTCTGGGAAGAATATCGTAGCGCATTCATTTTCTTCTTAGGGCTCGTTTACAGGTGAGGCTATACTGCCACCTCTCTGAAAAGTTATTTGCAGTGGATCATTTTTCAGAGGGCATTTGGTAGGCATTGAGGATGCCATATGTTGCCTCCTCACCAGCTACTGTAACCCTCAAAATGCCAACTCACCACGCTGCATCTGTGTGGCAGAACGGCTGGGCGCGCAGCCCCTTTCACTTGAATAGGTTCATGTTCACTGGTGGAACCACCACTCAAATGCGACATTTTTTTTTTTTCATAGCCATGAAGCAAGGCATTACGGACATGGCATAGGTACAGCTCTGGGGGCTGAATTGCTGTGTTTAGGCAGGTGCAGTCAGTTTTCTCCACTGTAGGTGGTGCTGGACCGAGTGGTACTTGCAGAGGAACTCAGGAGAAACCGGGTTTCCGAAACTCTGGAAGAAGCGTTTTGGTTAGCTATGCTGCATCCAGGTGACCCCTAGTGACCATATTGGATCAGCACAGTCTTTATAGGTCCCTGCTAGGGACTCACAATCCTGTACGGAAGGCTCCCCTTTGGGACCGGACTGGCCAGGCCACATTTCGCCTTCTGAAGACAGGCGCTGTTGGTGCATCTCTACCCCCTGCATTAAACTGAACTGTGAGTGTTACCCGAATCGGTGTTCTCCCGCTGGGGTTGTTTGTAGTTGGCAATTTCTGCAATACAGGTTCTGAGCTTATCTGCAACCCAACTTTGAGTATTTACCGATTCCGTACCACATTGCACCCACCCACACTTGGTGGCAGTCGCAGGATATGTTCAGAGCTGTCTTTAAGGAGGGGAAAATGGAGCAGCTGTCCTGGGCCCAGTCATTGTTGTGAGGCCCAAAGCAGCTGCCTATACTTGCCAACTCTTCCGGTTTCCATTCTCTTGTCTCTCGAGGTCTTCTCCCATTGTATGTCCTAATATCTCAGTGTACAGTGCAGTCACTTATGTTGTCCAGCTTGGCCCTATTGCAGTGTACAGATGACTCAGACCATGTCAGAATTCACATGTAAATAACCAAAATTGATATGTAAATAGCGGCGGCTTTCATATGTATCATGCAGTAACCTCTAGCAACCAATTAGTGAGTGGTGGGTATCTGCATAACCTTTAGCAACCAATCAGTGAGCAGTAATGATGAGCAGTAACCTCTAGCAAGTGATCAGTGAGCCGTTATGTGTGCTGTAACCTCTAGCAACCAGTCAGTGAGAGGTAAAGAAAGATATACTGTAACTTCTGGCAACCAATCGCAATCACTGCCTGATCTGCTGCAGTAAACTGGTTTTGAGTCTAGCTGCTATTTAATGTATGTCTCAGAGCAGGTGGAGAGCAAAATTACATGGGGAGGGCAAGTAAATGTTTGCCCAGGGTCCAATCAATATTAAAGATGGCCCTGGATATGTCCCTTACGCAGCAGGTGCGTAAGGAGGATTGGGCTCCAGCATGGCTCCACTAGGATTGGCCTTAGCTCTGATACATTGCACAAATATCCCCTTAGCAGAGTTGGAGAAGAGACTGGAAAGTGCTGTGTGCTTGTACCAGGTCCCGACCCAGATAGTGGCAGAGCTGGCTATTAATGCCTTAGTGCAGGGGTGTCAAACTGGCGGCCCTCCAGCTGTTGAAAAAACTACAAGTCCCATCATACCTCTACCTTTGGTCATGCTTGTAACTGTCAATCTTGTAATGCTTAATGGGACTTGTAGTTTGGCAACAGCTGGAGGGCCACCAGTGTGACACCTGTGTCTTAGAGGATGACACCCACCACGCATTGATGGCACTGTCA